TCTTTGAGCAACAAAAAGAAAAGCCTCCTAGACTTAAGTGTGTGGAGTTTAAAAGATCTACCATAGATAAATGGTTCGAAGTTCCTGTGTATGATTTGACTGGACCAGTAAATTTGGATAGCCGGTTATTTCGAGAAGAGATGAATTTGTTCATAGTAGGACTAATTAAGCTGTGTGTCAGTTTCATCAAAGATGAATTGTTATTGACCCTTCACGGTGTTCCTGTAAATACGTTGAACACAGATTTATTTATTGATAATTCGTGCATTATCGACGATGTCTTTGATGCGTGTTACGAATCAGAAGTTACAAATAGTAATTTAGCTGTCCTGAAGCAGGTATTAGCCTCACCGTTAACTATCTCACGGTGTAATATCGACAATCATTTAACTGAGTTTACGTCTGGATCTTTAAATATTTCCGACAATTTGTTTGAACGGCCTCTCATCGATGTAATCAAGTTTGCATTAACAGCATATCGGCCCTTCTGTAAAATGGTTGAATCTATTTATCTCGATCCGTTACGGTCGAATAAAAAGAAAATTATAAGTTATGGAAATGTTGCGTTAAACATGGAACTGAATGGCATAGTCAGTTTACCGTTACATAATATTGAATGCCTCAATATTCCACGTGTGAGTTCAACTGTGGTCAACATGAACTATTATACTACATGTATTTGTAGAGGGTCTTTGTTACGAATACAAAAATATTTGGCTAGAAAAAAATGTTATTTTTCGAGTTTTAGAAATAAGATTCAATCTTTCCTTCGAAATAAAGTAACAAAATTTAAAGTAAAAATGCCTTCAACATTACGATGTTGAATATTTACCTGTCCACGCCTACGGTGACTTTGCTGTAAACCGTTAAATAGCTGTGTTTGTAGATTTTTTCGGTGAATTTATAACCGATTTGTTCTTGATTGATGCGTGAATGATACGGTGTACCTGTATACCGTTGCTAGTGTGATTGAAAGTGTGAATGTGAAGAATAGGATATTTTTTTTCAGAACCAGGAACCAATCCTCTCAAATTAAGACGGGGGGGGGGTGATTTTGCACTGTATAATACAGATGTCCGTCAGGATAACCGGGACTACTTCCACCTATCCACGGAGTCCCGTGCTACCAGCGGGATTTAACCTATATATTGCTGCGTTGCCGTAGCAGCGGCTCAGATTATGTTTAGACTCAAAATAGGTAACATTGTTAGTTTATGCGGACGCCTTACATACCAAGCGGGGCTTGGATAATATACACTCGACACTACATTATTATGGAAGTGGATCATTCCGAATGGGTTAGTCCTGTCGTACTTAGTCGTAGAAAGAACATTAAACTTCGGTTGTGTGTTGACCTACGTAGTGTCAATAAAAACATTATTCCTGTGAAGTATCCTCTACCGAATATTGAGACGCTTATAGGTTCAATTAAGAAAGCTGATTTCATTACAAAGTTGGATATGAATGAAGCTTACCACCAACTTCCACTGAAACCTTAAACTCAAGAACTTACGACATTTGCAACTCCATTTGGTTTGTACAGATACAAGACTTCTCCATTTGGTTTAGCAGATATTCCTGGATCTTTTCAAAAGTTGATGGACATCATTCTAACCGGTTGCACTGGAACATTCAATCTTGTTGATGTATTGAAACGTCTTGAGAAACATGGTCTAACGCTAAGTTCTTCAAAGTGCTACTTTAAAGTTTCTCACGTAAATTGGCTCGGATTCTCTGTATCATCTTCTGGTGTTCATATGCTCCCAGAAAATATCGATGCAGTCAATAATCTTGTTGCTCATTCAACGGTGAAAGAAGTTCAAAGTTTTTTCAACCACTATTCACACTTCATACCAAATTTTGCTAATGTTATAGAACCACTCCGTAAACTAACTCGACTTAATCAGAAATGGGAATGGACTTGTGAAGAGGACATTGCTTTCAAACAGCTGAAAAGGTTATTCACTTCGCCCCCAGTATTAGCTTTTTACAGACCAGATCTTGAAACTTATGTTACCTGTGATGCTTCTAACTACGCATTAGGCGCAGAATTATCTCAGATGCAAGATGATGGATACATCCGACCGGTAGCTTTCGCATCAAAAACGCTTAACGACTACGAACGGAAATACAGTATCGGCGAAAGGGGGGCATTAGCGTGCACATGGGCAGTTAAAAAATGGGATAGATACCTTAAAGGCAAATTATTTAAATTAGTAATCGACCAGAGTTCGTAAATAACATTACTACAGTCATCCGAGAACTCCTCCGGTCATAAACCTGCTCGCATTGCCAGATGGGCCGCTATTTTGTTAGAGTATAATTTTTCTATGGTTTACAAAAAGGGATCTTCCAACGTCATAGCAGATGCACTGTCTAGATTACGCTCTATTCCAACTGTTGATAACGAACTAAGTGATGTTTCAGTAGATGAAGTAAATTTGTGTTATTCGCTGACCAGTGAATCTATCAATGTTTCACCAGAATTAGTTGCTTTAGAAACAAAGAAAGATGAAGTTTTATCTTAATTATTACATTTTTTTAAATACATCGTGGCCTGATAAGAAGAAAATTTCACAAAATGTTCTTCCTTATTTTTTTATCAAAGACGAATTGTTTGTGTTTGGTGATTCATGTATCGGTCGTAATGTAATTCCTGAGTGATAGTTAACAACGTCAAGTTCTAGAATTAGCTCATTCTGGTCATCCTGGTATTGTTAAGACTAAACAAAATCTTCGTTGAGTCGCATACTGGACAGGTATCGATAAACATGTTGAAAATTGTGTGAATTCATGTTATATGTGCGCGGATAGCGATAAATCGTCTAAACGTTATGTTGCTCCTTTAAAACCACGTTATCCATCTAAAGGGCCGTGGACTGATTTAGCCATAGACATTCAGGGACCTTTTGAAAGTGCACCACAAGGGCCGTGGACTGATTTAGCCATAGACATTCAGGGACCTTTTGAAAGTGCACCACAAGGTTCACGATATCTCGTAAATCTCATTGACTATTATTCTAAGTGGCCAGAATCTTTAATGACTGATTCAATAACTTCCACAATAATTATTCAGTTTTTAGAACGATTATTTTCTGTATGGGGTATTCCCCAAACTTTGACTACAGATAATGGACCACAATTCATAAGCCATGAGTTTACTAATTTTTTGCACAGTATGAACATTAAACATATTCGTACACCGAATTACCACCCAGAAGCAAATGGAGCTATTGAGAGACTAAATGGTACTATTAAATCTTTAATTCAGACAAATGTTAAAGATAAATTATCATGGACAAATGCTCTTAGAATTGTATTAGGTACTATTAGATCTTGTAAACACTCAACTACTAATTGTTCTCCTTTTTATTTAATGACGGGGAGAGAGATGCGTACAAAACTCTCAATGTTAAAACGATGTATGAATAATGTTGAGAAACAGAATAATGGACTGATTGAATTTGTATCTAATTAACAGTCTAAAATGAAACAGTATTATGATAATAAGCATAGTGTTAAAAAGGTTGATTATAAAGTAGGAGATAGGATCAGAATTAGAATTAAGAATTTATCTGGTAATAGACATGAATTAAGTGCACATTATTCAGAACCTACAGAGATTATTGATATTAATGGTGATATAGTTACTGTAAGTAATGGTAAGAAATGGCATACAAATGATATTGTAAAGTTTAGATATGATGGTGAAATTGTAGAACCAGATTTTCAGAATAATATATATTTGTGGTTTAATGATAATTTTGAAAATGTGAATGTACAGGATAGAAACAATGATTATAATGTTGTAGAAAACGTACCAAGATATCCTAGAAGAATTCGCCATGTACCTAGTTATATGAAGGACTATAGTAGATAAACGTAATGATAATGATGTACATACAAGATGAATCATGCGAGATGAAATAATGTTAAACTTAATAGTATTATAATTACTTACATAGTATATAAACATACAAGATATAATTGAAAGGTTTATTTATAAGTTGATGACTATCTTTATTCGAAGAGGGGAAATATGTGGTGTTTGTCAATTCATTATGTCATTAATGTGTTTCCATACTTTGTGATAGCTATTTGTATAGACATGCGCAGTTGATATTGAGATGTACAGTTCCGCCATGCCGTTGAATAAATATTGTTAAAGCCTTTCCTGATGTTATCGTTGCAAATATAAACCCACAAATAGAATAAAAATTAACTATGCTTTTGTTTGCTTCGATTGTTAAATTTAAGCCATGTTTGTGAAATATAGAGCAAATGTCTTTCTTCATTCGTTCTACCTGTCTTGGGGGCGCTCTTGTGATACCTAGCTAGGCCATCATCTCTGTACAATCCAAAAATATTGCCGTGTTTCTCCGTGATTTCCTGGAGTAGAAATAAGCCGACAAGTTCACATACCTCGGCACCATCAAAGCTACCCATTGTGACATCGAATAAATCTGGTGAGTGAGTCTTACCCCATGGTTTGTCACTGTTGAGCGCAAATTACCCTCCTCGGACAAATTACCCCCGCGCATGCGCGAAACTCCGTCTAATATCCGCCGAGTAATCTGCGCGCGCGAAGTGAACTTTGTCCGGGCTATTTAATGGATTACTGCGATAATAATCTACCAGGTAGTAGTAGTAGATAATCCGCCTAATCTTACTTGGTATTCACCATGGATCACTGCGTTAGTATTAGTCATTTGAATGAATTTTGTGACCGTCAGTTTACTCGTACAAGTACGAGCAAGAAGTATGACCGCATAGTTGACTACCTGAAAAGAAGAAGTAGCCTATTCTTACTTGGTATTCACCATGGATCACTGCGTTAGTTTTAGTCATTTTAATGAATTTTGTGACCGTCAGTTTACTGCAACAAGTACGAGCAAGAAGTATGACCGCATAGTTGACTACCTGAAAAGAAGAAGTAGCCTACTGTATGCTACGTATAGAGTAGCGAGGATTACATGTCATTTGGGACTCGCGTCATTTGGGACTCAAATAAATATGACCACGACATTTGGGACTCGGGTATACGACGTTTGTGACTTTGGTATACGTCGTTTGGGACTCGGGTATACGACGTTTGGGACTCGTATCGGGATAATTTATTAGAAATAGGCCAATTCAAAACACGAAAGAAAATATTTATTAACATGAAACACGTGGTTAGTAAAAGGCTCAACCAAACGATAAAACATTAGTTGCACTTACGGTTCTTTGATAATCATCGATTCTCATAAAAGTTATATATTTATTTAAAACTAATAATATGCTGATGAATTTATTTGAAAATGACCTACACAAAAAAACAAAATAAATATTTACACGACATGCAATCTTTTTTACAAGCCCCTAGAAATTGTTAACGATAATCCGTGAGCTGCACGTTGACATGCTTGTCGTAGATGGCAATACCAATCGATAAATTAGTGCGTACAAGGCAAAGTTTTTTTTGAGGAAAATATAAGAAATGGCAACGATCAAAGCGGGATAATTAAAGCTGATTAACTGATAATCCCGATGTTATAGCAGTATGTTCAAAGAAACCTAACGGTTCTTTGGTGGATGAGGAAAAACGTGAGTTGTCAATCATCGAGAATGGCGTCCGTGTGTTGATTGCAGTTATACCGTTTCACGAAAAAACATGAGCAGTAGTCGGTCAATCAAGCTCGTTTACTGTTTGATAAAAGAAAAACAACGAAGTATTACTAAATATACACAAATTTTCAACAATATATTATTGTCAAGTTTTATACTCGCAGATAAAACAAAACAAAAGAGAAGTTTTATACTCGCAGATAATACAAAATAAAGGGGAACTAGCAGTGTTAATCGCGGTCTCAACAATCGCCGATCAACTAAATAAAACGAAAGACAACTAAGACAGCTGTTACTAAACATGTATATCTCATAAATAAATAGCCCCAACTGTCGTTTCTATTGAGTACCAAATGTCGTTTGTGTTGAGTCCCAATTGACGCCAATCAAGTCCCAAACGTCGTCAACTGAGTCCCAAATGTCGTTTATGTTGAGTCCCAAATGACGTGAGTCCCAAATGACGTGATACCGTAGAGAGAACTCTAAATCAATGGTTTGTTCGGTGAGTGAAAGAGAAGGGCTTTGGGTAATAACGCAGTTCCCGTCGATAGGTCTACATGACATACTTTGTGAACCTAGAAGTACCAGGAAAAAGGTAAGATTAACAAGTTATGAATCTATTTTATCTTTTCACCGATCGTTTCTGACATGAAACTGAAAGAAGGGCGCTAATGCACTTTCGTACACCTAGTACTTGCCGTGGTCCTAGGGGCGCTATTGCACTTTCGTACCTCTGAGGATGTTAAGGGGGGCTATCAATGACCACACACCAAATTTCAGCCGAATCGATAAATAATTTTTTATTTTACCGACCTTTTAATTTCTAACGAGAGAGAACTTCATCCGTTTGACGCCATTTGCTTTGTTTACTAATTAGACTTGAATAACAAGACACTAAGACGGAAACCGACTCGAATAACAAGACACTTAGACGGAAACCGACACACTGCACTAGCTGCCTAACACTGCAGTTCATAAAAATTAATATAATTTTCGTATACTTTAATTTTTGCGCGAAGCCACCATTTTCTATAAAATACTATTTGGTGTTGATCAGTGGATTGGCCTTTAGGTGTAAATATTGCCGTGACCTTGATTTTGACCTTGAGGCCAAACTTCCCATCCATATCAGGGCCTTTGCGTTTATGCTTGCCGTGGCCTTATTTCTTACTGTATTATCAAAGTTAATGTTCGAGGTGAAAGCAGAGATGACGTCCTTCAGAAAAGATAATTGGGTTAAAGTCGTAGGTAAAGGTCATGTTACAGAAAACTAAACTCAAACTTTTCAAAGTCATTTTTGGGACATTTGACCTTGACTTACGACCTTGACCCCGTAACCATTTCGAAGGCTATCACATTGGCTTGAATCATGAACGTTTACCTTGGTCCTATCGCACACTGCTCGGTCAGAAAACGGTCAAACGCAGAGGGTCCGTGTCCGAAAGGAAGTCAATGGGCGTGGTCAATGTGAAAGGTCGTGGTGACCTCCACTAGTCACCGTTAACCATCCGTAACCTTGACTCTGACCTTGAGTCCAAACGTCCCATCCATCTCGGGCCCTTTGCGTTTATACTTGCCGTGGCCTTATTTCTAACTGTATTATCAAAGTTAATGTTCGAGGTGAAAGCAGAGACGACGTCCTCCAGAAAAGATAATTGGGTCAAAGTCGTAGGTCAAGGTCATCTTACAGAAAACTAAACTCGGACTTTTCAAAGTCAGTTTTGGGACATTTGACCTTGACTTACGACCTTGACCCCGTAACCATTTTCGAAGGCTATCACCTTGGCTTGAACCATCGACGTTTACTTTGGTCCTGTCGCACACTGTTCGGTCAGAAAAGGGTCAAACGCAAAGGGCCCGTGTCCGAAAGGAAGTCAATGGGCGTGGTCAATGTGTAAGGTCGTGGTGACCTCCACTAGTCACCTTTAACCATCCGTGACCTTGACTTTGACCTTGAGTCCAAACTTCCTATTCATCTCGGGCCCTTTTCGTTTATGCTTGCCGTGACCCTATTTCTAACTGTATTATCAAAGTTAATGCTTGAGGTGACAGCAGAGACAATGTCCTTCAGAAAAGTTAAAAAGGTCAAAGTCGTAGGTCAAGGTCATGTTACAGAAAACTAAACTCAAACTTTTCAAAGTCAGTTTTGGGACATTTGACCTTGACTTACGACCTTGACCCCGTAACCATTTTCAAAGGCTATCAACTTGGCTTGAATCATGGGCGTTTACCTTGGTCCTGTCGCACACTGCTCGGTCAGAAAACGGTCAAACGGAGAGGGGCCCGTGCCCGAAAGGAAGTCAATGGGCGTGGTCAATGTGAAAGTTCGTGGTGACCTCCACTAGTCACCTTTAACCATCCGTGACCTCGACTTCGACCTTGAGTCCAAACTTCCCATCCATCTCGGGCCCTTTTCGTTTATGCTTGCCGTGACCCTATTTCTTACTGTATTATCAAAGTTAATGCTTGAGGTGAAAGCAGAGACAACGTCCTTCAGAAAAGGTAAATGGGTCAAAGTCGTAGGTCAAGGTCATGTTACAGAAAACTGAACTCAAACTTTTCAAAGTCAGTTTTGGGACATTTGACCTTGACTTACGACCTTGATCCCATAACCATTTTCAAAGCCCATAATCTTGGCTTGAACCATCGACGTTTACCCTGGCCCTGTCGCACACTGCTCGGTCAGAAAACGGTCAAACGCAGAGGGGCCCGTGTCCGAAAGGACGTCAAAGGGCGTGGTCAATGTGAAAGTTCGTGGTGACCTCCACTAGTCACCTTTAACCATCCGTGACCTTGACTTCGACCTTGAGTCCAAACTTCCCATCAATCTCGGGCCCTTTTCGTTTATGCTTGCCGTGACCCTATTTCTTACTGTATTATCAAAGTTAATGCTTGAGGTGAAATCAAAGACAACGTCCCTCAGAAAAGATAATTGGGTCATAGGTCGTAGGTCAAGGTCATGTTATAGAAAACTGAACTCAAACTTTTCAAGGTCAGTTTTGGGACATTTGACCTTGACTGACGAGCTTGACCCGTAACCATTTTGGCTTGAACCATCGACGTTTACCCTGGCCCTGTCCCAAAAATGACTTTGAAAAGTTTGAGTTTAGTTTTCTGTAACATGACCTTGACCTACGACTTTGACCCAATCATCTTTTCTGAATGACGCCGTCTCTGCTTTCACCTCGAACATTAACTTTGATAATACAGTAAGAAATAAGGTCACGGCACGCATAAACGCAAAGGGCCCGAGATGGATGGGAAGTTCCAACTCTAGGTCAGGTTCAAGGTCACGGATGGTTAACGGTGACTAGTGGAGGTCACTACGACCTTTCACATTGACCACGCCCATCGACTTCCTTTCGGACACGGGCCCCTCTCCGTTTGACCCTTTTCTGACCGAGCAGTGTGTGACAGAACCACGGTAAACGTCCATGATTCAAGCCAAGGTGATAGCCTTCGAAAATGGTTACGGGGTCAAGGTCGTAAGTCAAGGTCAAATGTCCAAAAAATGACTTTGAAAAGTTTCAGTTTAGTTTTCTGTAACATGACCTTGACCCAATTATCTTTTCCGAAGGACGTCGTCTCTGCTTTCACCTCGAACATTAACTTTGAAAATACAGTAAGAAATAAGGCCACGGCAATCATAAACGCAAAGGCCCTGATATGGATGGGAAGTTAAGACTCAAGGTCAAAATCAAGGTCACGGCAATATTCACACCTAAAGGCCAATCCACTGATCAACACCAAATAGTATTTTATGGAACATGGTGGCTTCGCGCAAAAATTAAAGTATACGAAAATTATATTAATTTTTATGAACTGCAGAGATAGGCAGCTAGTGCAGTGTGTCGGTTTCCGTCTTAGTGTCTTGTTATTCGAGTCTAAATAGTAAACAAAGCAAATGGCGTCAAACAGATAAAGTTTTCTCTCGTTAGAAATTAAAAGGTCGGTAAAATAAAAAGTTATTTATCGATTCGGCTGAAATTTGGTGTGTGGTCATTGCTAGTCCCCCTTAACATCCTCTAATAATTTCAAGTTCCTACGACCACGGGAACTGGTAGAGGTACGAAAGTGCAATAGCGCCGTCCTAGGCACTTGAAATTTTCAGGCAATTGAAATGTTAAGGGGGACTAGCAATGACCACACATAAAATTTCAGCCGAATCGATCAATAACTTTTTATTTTACCGACCTTTTAATTTCTAATGAAATGAAATGGGCCCTACTGTTGCTCCTAACCTGGGCTAATGAAGACGGGCATACGCCATACAGTGTGCTATGAGGGAAATTTTTGCCCGGACAGCGGCACTACGACCTACTCTTATATCGAATTCCAACTGCCAAGGGATCTTTTACGTGCACGCCAATGTGTACACGGGACCTCGGTTTTTCGTCCCACCCGAACGACTAGACAGCTTTCCTTGTCAGCCCGTCCTGCACCACTGACAAGGGGGAACCACGCCGGAAAATCTCGATGAACTTTCTCGGCCAAAGCAGGGATCGAACACCCGACCTCCAGGCTAGCGAGCTAGCGTCTTACCCACTTAGCCACGTGATCCCCTCTAACGAGAGAGAACTTCATCCGTTTGACGCCATTTGCTTTGTTTACTATTTAGACTATTTAGACCATAGATATCCTATAAAGTCTTTATAGGATATCTATGATTTAGACACTAAGACGGAAACCGACTCGAATAACAAGACACTAAGACGGAAACCGACACATTGCACTAGCTGCCTAACCCTGCAGTTCATACAAATTCATATAATTTTCGTATACTTTAATTTTTGCGCGAAGCCACCATTTTCTATAAAATACTATTTGGTGTTGATCAGTGGATTGGGCCTTTAGGTGTGAATATTGCCGTGACCTTGATTTTGAACTGGAGTCCAAACTTCCCATCCATATCGGGGCCTTTGCGTTTATGCTTGCCGTGGCCTTATTTCTTACTGTATTATCAAAGTTAATTTTCGAGGTGAAAGCAGAGACGACGTCCTTCAGAAAAGATAATTGGGTCAAAGTCGTAGGTCAAGGTCATCTTAAATAAAACTAAACTCAAACTTTTCAAAGTCATTTTTGGGACATTTGACCTTGACTCCGTAACCATTTTCGAAGGCTATCACCTTGGCTTGAATCATGGACGTTTACCTTGGTCCTGTCGCACACAGCTCGGTCAGAAAACAGCCAAACGCAGAGGACCCGTGTCCGAAAGGAAGTCAATGGGCGTGGTCAGTGTGAAAGGTCGTGGTGACCTCCATTAGTCACTTTTAACCATCCGTGACCTTGACTTCGACCTTGAGTCAAAACTTCTCATCCATCTCGGGCCCTTTTCGTTTATGCTTGCCGTGACCCTATTTCTTACTGTATTATCAAAGTTAATGCTTGAGGTGAAAGCAGAGACAACGTCCTTCAGAAAACATAAATGGGTCAAAGTCGTTGGTCAAGGTCATGTTAAAAAAAAAAATGAACTCAAACTTTTCAAAGTCAGTTTTGGGACATTTGACCTTGACTTACGACCTTGAACCCGTAACCATTTCCAAAGCCCATAATCTTGGCTCGAACCATCGACGTTTACCCTGGCCCTGTCGCATACTGCTCACTAGTCAACGCTAACCAACCGTGACCTTGACTTTGACCTTGACTCAAAACTTCCCATCCATCTCGGGCCCTTTGCGTTTATGCTTGCCATGGCCCTATTTCTTGCTGTATTATCAAAGTTGATGCTTGAGATGAAAGCAGAGACAACGTCCCTCAGAAAAGATAATTGGGTCAAAGTCGTAGGTCAAGGTCATGTTACAGAAAACTGAACTCAAACTTTTCAAAGGCAGTTTTGGGACATTTGACCTTGACTTACGACCTTGACCCCGTAACCATTTTCAAAGCCCATCATCTTGGCTTGAACTATCGACGTTTACCCTGGCCCTACTGCACACTGCTCGGTCAGAAACTAGTCAATGCTAACCAACCGTGACCTTGACTTTGACCTTGACTCCAAACTTCCCATCGATATAAGGGCCTTTGCGTTGTCACAGACAACCGTGTAATCGAAACTACGTCAGTTGACTCAATGACAGGCTTTATGAAATAAGGCCACGGCAAGCATAAACGCAAAGGACCCGAGATGGATGAGAAGTTTGGACTCAAGGTCAGGGTCAAGGTCACGGATGGTTAACGGTGACTAGTGGAGGTCACCACGACCTTTCACATTGACCACGCCCATTGACTTCCTTTCAGACACGGGCCCCACTGCGTTTGATCGTTTTTTGACCGAGCAGTGTGCGACAGGACCAAGGTAAACGTCCATGATTCAAGCCAAGGTAATAGCCTTCGAAAATGGTTACGGGGTCAAGGTCGTAAGTCAAGGTCAAATGTTCCAAAAATGACTTTGAAAAGTTTAAGTTTACTTTTCTGTAAGATGACCTTGACCTATGACTTTGACCCAATTATCTTTTCTGGAGGACGTCGTCTCTGCCTTCATCTCGAACATTAACTTTGATAATACAGTAAGAAATAAGGCCACGGAAAGCATAAACGCAAAGGCCCCGATATGGATGGGAAGTTTGGACTCAAGGTCAAAATCAAGGCGACGGCAATATTCACACCTAAAGACCAATCCACTGATCACCACCAAATAGTATTTTATAGAAAATGGTGGCTTCGCGCAAAAATTAAAGTATACGAAAATTATATTAATTTTTATGAACTGCAGTGTTAGGTAGCTAGTGCAGTGTGTCGGTTTCCGTCTTAGTGTCTTGTTATTCGAATCTAAATAGTAAACAAAGCAAATGGAGTCAAACGGATGAAGTTCTCTCTCGTTAGAAATTAAAAGGTCGGTAAAATAAAAAGTTATTGATCGATTCGGCTGAAATTTGGTGTGTGGTCATTGCTAGCCCCCCTTAACATCCTCTGAAAATTTCAAGTGCCTAGGTCCACGGCAAGTACTAGGTGTACGAAAGTGCATTAGCGCCGGTGTGATAGTTTGAGTTGACTCCTGGTGTGTGTTTTCTCCTGGGTACTTGCGCATGTCTGAAACTGATGTTTACCTTCACAACGAAACTATATCAACTTCCTGCGGTGCGAGTTGGTTCCTTGCAGTACAGGAAAAAGTATATCATGTACTTGATTAGAGTTTTGTCATTAATAAACATACTTGTTATCGTGATTAGCTGTTGTTTTAGTGATGAGTAGTTACACGATCAACGGAACTAAGTTGATTGGCTTGAAATTGATACTTCTATCGTTCGTGATTTGTTGCCGTTGTTTTGTTTTTTTTTTAGTGATTAGGCCTAGTCGTTCTACACACGTACGATCAGTGGAAACCATACAAACTGATGATTGGCTTGAAATTATCAATTAATTCACCTCCAAAGGAAGATTAAGGCCTTTGATATTTCGTGGCTTCATTTATCACAAATATAAAAGTATGGAATTTCTTATTCCGATTTCTTTAACATAAATATAGATTTATTATACCATCCCATACATTGAAACATGCATGTAGACAGCCCAAATACAAGAGAGAATGTTTGCATTGTGGACAGGTATATATACTAAATAATAATAATAAAGATCGTCAATTTGCATCCTCTCGTGGTGGTAATACTGTAAATATCAGTACATAATAGTCTATATATTGATTTGACCGTAAGAATATCTTAGGGGAAATCCTATCACGAGGAGTCAATGCACACCGCGACTGTAACGGTGTGAGTTGACTCCTACAACTGCGCATGCGCCAAACGGTAATCACACACCAGGAACCATCTGAAACTGCCACACCGGTAAGGGCCTGGAATCGACTGAATTATTGAATACCGGTGGTAGATATTCTAATATTTTCATTCATTCACTCCAGGGAAACTGATTAGTGATATGGCATCGATTTCCGAAACTCAGTTTTATTCTACCTAGTAGTACAAGTGGGCTTTTGAAATTTGCGATTTTTCGTAGACAATTTCTACCATTAATCATTAATATGGTTGGCCTATCTTGTCTTGCAACAGATTTTTATTCATTTTGATACAATAATAAGACCCAGATCTTGTGTCATCTAACTAGTCTAGGATATAGTATTAGTACCATTATCAATTTGTTCTTGCACTAATAATAATAGTAATATTACTTATTAATAAATAATAAACTAATAAGGAATAATAGTAATATTACTTATTTTGGAATAGCCAAAAATTGTATTTTAATCTCATACTCATAATAGCATGTTAAATCACCTGAATAAAACCAATCAGACTGAAAGATCAAAAGATTAACTTTTAAATCGCCTGTCTAAAATATGTCTGACATTAGTGACTGCGAATAGACTATTAGGCCCTATTTTTTTATCTTCATATTTGCCCAGTTGTTGTTGTTCTTAGCTTTTAACGTCCGCTTCCACCGAAGGTGATATCGCAGACAAGTTCATTTTAATGATCTTAGCGCACGCGCAGGGGTCTTTGCTGTGGGAGGAAACCGGAGTACCCGGAGTAAACCCACGAGGTTGAGAAGGCGCCCCTATCTCCAAGCCACATACGCTCACACCTGGGATCGAAACCACAGCCGCAAGCCAGAGGTGACCGGCCAACTAGAGGTCGAAGCGTGACACTCTAGACCACTAGGCCATCCCAACCCCCCTTTGCCCAGTTCTAGTAGTAGGCCTATTTATATGAGCCTTTATAACCTTGCAAAATCATTGTATTTTATAGAATGGGAGGAAAGTGTGCTCATGTGTTGGCAATAATAATAATGATTGAAGAATGGAGAATGGCAGGACAGAAAAATGCCCCTTCTCAACCATCATCGAGTTTACCATAACAGTGAGATAAGCCAAGGGTGGCGAAAATTTAACCAGGCCCTGTTTCACAGATTATAATTTCAAGACCTGGGAATGTAAACAGAAAAAGAAAGCCTGTGATGGCAAATTTTTACGACAACAGGTAAGTGTTCAGATGACATGGGCAAACCACCCCATAAGAAAATGTTCTTAGGGAATGATGTAATTATTGTGATCGTCCAGTTAAAAATATGATCCAAAAAGTGTGGTAAAATACAAGGAGTGTCATACATGTATGGAATTTCTTTAAATACCAGTATGCTTGTTTTGTAGCTTAATACTTTCTTTTTCAGAAAAATTCAAGTATCAGATGCCAATATACTACATGTACATCCTCAGACCTTGAAGGACAGTGTAATCTCATACTTGGTGAGCAGCACAGCAGACTCCATAACAACGTCCACTGGTCCTCAACTTATTGGATCCCCACTTGCACATTATGTACGTAATAATGTATCTATATCGATTTGGGCTTGTATAGGCTTTTCAGCAAAACCTCAGATGCAAAACCGTAATAAAAACAATATCATTAGTTATCCCCTTGTATTTTCAGTAACAAAGACATAATGCAATATTTTATATACCACTTTTATTTCTCAATAAGGAATCACATAAAATTTGTTAAAAACGCAACAGACAAGTCAGCCATAATCAGTACTTTTATATTGTTCTGGCATGTTTTCAATGATAATATTTCTGTGTGGCCATATAACAAGAGAGCTAAGTCTATAAAACATATAATTGATCCAATTAGTAAATAAACAGCTACAATCTTGAGAAGAAATTCCAAACATACATGTATTTGATATGCGTTTAAAAACAAAGTCCTGTCTTAATTTTATTAGCACTGATAGAAGCTGATCATCTAGAGAAAAACTGACTAAGCTGCTAGTATTTTTAGAAAATTCAAACGGTAACTCTCCTGCTGGTTCAAAAAACTTATATATACTTTAAAAAAACAGTGATCCATAAGGAGAGCCAGTATAATGAATCCTTTTTTTAAAGCTGAATAGCTAAAACATTGCATTGATAGGTTCATACTAGTTCCTTTATCTACTAGTTGAACTTGACTGCGTTTAAGATTTTCATTTTCCACAATTAACTTTGCATATTCTTCCTTTTCATATTTTCTGCAGCAAGGGCCAAGATGTCCATCGGTTGAAATCCTGAAAAATATATTCAGTAAATAGATTATAATATGTATTTCAGGCACCCTTTATGCAAGTCACAACTCAACTGAGAACAGAGAACTCTGATAAATGTGGTGAAATATTTTTTCCAAAACCAGTTGATGTACATTTAGAGTTAAATCAGATAGTTAAGATGAAAGTTGAGTGGAAATAAAATTAATAAATAGATGTAAAGCAAGATGAAGCCATAAAATAGAGATATCCACAAGAAATAATAATAACACCTGGATGAACGAAAGAAAGTGTTGTGTTACTGCCTCAAAGAATGAAATAAACGATTCATTTTTGAAAAACATATTTGACAAAATTCATTTTAGGTGCTACATCAGACGCAATTGTTTGTGATAAAGGCGAGACTGGGCTCATTGAAATTAAATGTCCTTTTTCAGCTCGAGATATGACACTTACAGAAGCATGTAATAAACTGAAAGATTTCTTTTTAATGCAAAATGATGATGAATATAAATTGTCTAGAAACCATATTCACCGGTTTCAGAATCAGAGACAACTTCTCATAACTGGGGCTCAATTTTGCGACTGTCACTTTTACAAGACAGGATTTCTGCATAGACAGAATATATCCCGAAAAACAAACCATGCAGCAACTTGTTTCAAAATTATATTGTTTTTATGTTGAACATTTAAAGCCATATCTTATAAAATATTCTACATGTCTATAAATAAGTTTAACTAACCTGTGGCAGCATCAACTATATTATCTGTACCATTTTATTAATAAAGTATTTTCTTCACAGTTTTCATACTCAATCTGATTTGACTTTATAGAAACTCTGTAAAGAATTTCATAATTATGTAAAATTTGTACATAAATGATTGTATTCAAAATTTTTATACCAGAGACTGGCAGAGACTAATTTTGTAAATGCGGCAGTAAACCCAGGAGGTTGGACAGACGAAATGAAATGAAATGGGGTTTAACGTCCTACTGTTCTGCTTGGACAGATGAGTCTTGCCATATAGAAGTATTGGTTTGAATAGTTCAAAACCACCTCAGTTGACTCACTGCCAGCCCTTATGATCTAAAATGCATGTGTTAACCATTTGACAACCCAAACCTTCAGTATAGGACAGACGACACATCTACAAGACAGTGATTCCAGGCCTCTGTATGACTAATACTGTGAGCACATGTGACAGGAAATAATCATTCTAAAGCTGATAAACCCATTGTTACCTTAAAACCTTTGATTCAACTACTGCAGGTTTCTCAAAAGAATTACTTGAACTGGGTTTGGGTGGTGGTCTTGGTTGAGCAATATGATCATAATGCAGTGCAGCAATGGGATCTAGCTGACCATTTACAAAGTGCTGAAAAATGAAAAAAAAAAATAAGAATATTAAGTAAGTTTTCATGTCCATTTCATTCCCCTAGATGATACTATCAAGTTTTTAATTGGCAACTTGATTTGCTTTGTCTGTTTTCCGCCTTCCTTTTTTTTTGTTAACTTCTTAATCTTAATTTCGTATTCAAACTTGAAATTAAGGCCCATGTCTGAACTATTTAGCCTGCAGACTTGTCCTGTACAGACTACAGTATAGGCCTATATCATTCTATATGAGTTACAGTCAAATAAGATTAACTATATTAATTATATTATGAACCAGCGGCTGCCAGGCAGGATACACCCACATTTTCGAGAGATGGATAGAGAACAAGCTAACAAGAAAGTGATTTTTCCTACAATCAAGGGCCATAATTCAGGAAATTACAATTCGATATGCGCATATATCGAAAGGAACTGAGATCTTTGTGTTATAAACTTACATTTCAAGTTTCAACAAAATCGGATAAAAATTGTGACCTCTATAGGGTCCACAACCTTGATATACCATATTTTTACGCTATTTGAGAACGAACGGAGGCCATTTTGTCTGTCAATTTTGGGGCGATTTTCACAAAATTCATACTCAACTGTCCTTAGGGTGAAACGGTAATATAATAAAACGGTTTTTTAAATCGGATAAAAATTATGACCTCTAATGGGTCCACAAGCTAAAAACATGATTTTTCGTACAATCAGGGGCCATAATTCAGGAAGTTACGGTCCGATATGGGCAAATATAGAAAGGAACCGAGATCTTTGGGTTATAAACTTATATTTCAAGTTTCAACAAAATCGGATAAAAATTGTGACCTCTATAGGGTCCACAACCTTGATATACATGTACCATATTTTTACGCTATTTGAGAAATAACGGCGGCCATTTTGTCTGTCAATTTTGGGCCGATTTTCATGAAATTCAAACTCAGTCATCCTTAGGGTGTAACGATGATATAATAATAGGTTTTTTTAAATCGGATAAAAATTATGACCTCTATAGGGTCCACAAGCTAAAAACGCGATTCTTCGTACAATCAGGGGCCATAATTCAGGAAATTACGGTCCGATATGTGCGAATATCGAAAGGAACCGAGATCTTTGGGTTATAGACTTATATTTCAAGTTTCAACAAAATCGGATAAAAATTGTGACCTCTATAGGGTCCACAACCTTGATATACCATTTTCTTACGCTATTTGAGAACGAACGGCGTCTATTTTGTCTGTCAATTTTGGGCTGATTTTAACGAAATTCGAATTCAGTCGTCCCTAGGGTGTAACGGTGATATAATAATATGTTTTTTAAAATCGGGTAAAAATTATGACTTCTATAGGGTCCACAAGCTAAAAACGTGATTTTTCGTACAATCAGGGGTCATAATTTAGGAAGTTACAGTCCGATATGCACGAATATCGAAAGGAACCGAGATCTTTGGGTTATAAACTGACATTTCAAGTTTCAACAAAATCGGATAAAAATTGTGACCCCTATAGGGTCCACAACCTTGATATACCATATTCTTACGCTATTTGGGAACGAATGGCGGCCATTTTGTCTGTCAATTTTGGGCCGATTTTCTTAAAATTCTAACCCAGTCATCCTTAGGGTGTAACGGTGATATAATAGAACGGTTTTTTAAATCAGATAAAAATTATGACTTCTATAGGGTCCACAAGCTAAAAACGTGATTTTTCGTACAATCAGGGGCCATAATTCAGGAAGTTACAGTCCGATATGCACGAATATCGAAAGGAACCGAGATCTTTGGGTTATAAACTTACATTTCAAGTTTCAACAAAATCGGATAAAAATTGTGACCCCTATAAGGTCCACAACCTTGATATACCATATTCTTACGCTATTTGGGAACGAACGGCGGCCATTTTGTCTGTCAATTTTGGGCCGATTTTCACGAAATTCAAACTCAGTCATCCTTAGGGTGTAACGGTGATATAATAGAACGTTTTTTTAAATCGGATAAAAATTATGACTTCTATAGGGTCCACAAGCTAAAAACGTGATTTTTCGTACAATCAGGGGCCATAATTCAGGAAGTTACTGTCCGATATGCGCAAATATCGAAAGGAACCGAGATCTTTGGGTTATAAACTTACATTTCAAGTTTCAACAAAATCGGATAAAAATTGTGACCTCTATAGGGTCCACAACCTTGATATACCATATTCTTACGCTATTTGGGAACGAACGACGGCCATTTTGTCTGTCAATTTTGGGCCGATTTTCACGAAATTCGAATTCAGTCATCCTTAGGGTGTAACGGTGATATAATAGAACGTTTTTTTAAATCGGACAAAAATTATGACTTCTATAGGGTCCACAAGCTAAAAACGTGATTTTTCGTACAATCAGGGGCCATAATTCAGGAAGTTACTGTCCGATCTGCGCAAATATCGAAAGGAACTGAGATCTTTGGGTTATAAACTTACATTTCAAGTTTCAACAAAATCGGATAAAAATTGTGACCTCTATAGGGTCCACAAGCTAAAAACGTGATTTTTCGCACAAACAGGGGCATTATCCATGAAGTTTCGATCCGATACATGCCAATATCTAAAGCAGCCGAGATCTTTTGGAGATAAACCTATATTTCAAGTTTCATCGAAATCGGATAAGAATTGTGACCTGTAGAGAGTCCACAAACAATTGTGGACGGACGGACAGGGGCGACGGCATAATACGTCCACATGAAAATGTGGGCGTATAAAAAGATTGTTTCCACTGGATGTCACTTCTGCCCTGGTGCAATTATAATAACGGAATGAATTTATATTCATAGGAAATACTGACATTTTAATCACACATTTATTAGCCTATAAAAGATAAGGTCTACCGGTACATAAGAAAAGCGATGATGCTGTCTTGTATTTTGTTTGAAAAAAAAGAAAAAACAAACAGTAGGCAAACAAGTCTATAAAAATATAAATAAATAATAACCTTTAGTGCACACAAACAGATGTGGACATTGTGGGCCTTTCACCGCTCATCCAGTAGCCTATCTCTTCGTTAAACTGCTTGAAAGTGACGAAAGGGTGTCCGCATCAACCTATCCATCGTCTGGTATCGTGTGTTCTTCCAAACTTGAGAAAGGAATAAAGGTTATCCCTCCTGTCAGTCTCTCCGCATATTTACTGTCTGAATTACACGTACCCCAAGCACACCTCTGCGCGCAGGGTGTAATCTGCGCAGGACGAAAGCGCAGATTGCAATCTGCGCGAGGGGTGAAGATTGCGCCTAACATCACCATTATATAAGCAAGATTTTTTTGAGTGTAGAATGATCTTCCGTTCGTCTTGGCTAATTGTGCAGTGTATTGATGCAAAATCTAGTGCGGTGTTTAATAGATCTGTTGAAATAGACGGATAGAAGTCGACGACATCAAATGCAATGAATTTACATTGGCTTTTGTTTTCGAAGCTACTGAACCATTGTAATACGGCTGCTGTGTTTTTCCATTGATTGAGTTTTAATTTATCTCGTAGTTGTGTGTTCAAATTTTCGAGGATTTGTTTACTTATTTTTCCTATTTCTGACTTAGTTTGGTTGATTAGTCTACACATGGGATTATTTTGGAAATTTGGTTTGTGATCTTTTAATGTAATAAATGCATCTTTTTTAGCCGAAATTTTGATTCTATCTAAAAGTTTGAGGTCTACTGCGATGTTCTTATTTTCCATCTAAATTTCTGCTACAGTGTCCTGGTTTATCTTTTTGTATTTTTTTGTGATGTTTTTAGTAAGTAATTTTCTGTATGACCTTCTTCAAGTTTGTAGAAATTTGTTGTTTTATCGGCGGGCACAAGTAGATCCTTTGTTCGGTCGATTTTATTTTTGATGTCCGATAAGAGTCTTTTTTGGAAGTGGCAATTCACATCACGAAATTTGAGATCTTTTATGAGATTTGAAAGTTGCGTTTCGAAGTTAACCAGTTCAGGTATGGTAGGTAGTGTTTTTATAGAATTAAATCCAAATGTTTCTTTTTGGTTAGCTTTGGCTTCAGGGTTCAAATAGAAGAATGCTTTCCACAGAGTGCTCGATGAATAAATCCAAAACAAATATAAATAATTAAAAATATGAAATCTGTAAGTTCTTTACTTAAAGTTTCATGTGGTACTCCACACTCATCCGAAGAAAAATACAAACGAAGTCTGATTACACGAGGCATGGTAACAACGGTTGACGGGCGTGACGTCAACAGTATACAACAAAACATAACAAATTATTTAGGAAATATATTACTGAATTATAACTACTAAAACATCTGTGTCTTAGATGAGCCAAGCTTTAAATATTGTCGACTAGTAAATTTAGTACTTGTAGTTTATAGGGTATGACCTATTGACACAATTTACATTAAGGTTAACTGGCGGAACAAGGCAATTATAAAAACATACTTTGGTTACTTAGAATATAAAAATACAACAAAATGATGTGCTATAGTTTAAAGTTCTACAGTAAATATTTATGAAGATGCCTGCATGTAGAAACAAGCTCATTTCTTCTATTTAAGGAGGAAAGTTCTGGTTTGCAAATAATGAAGTATTTCTCCCATATGCATAAGTTGCATCTATTTGTGGAAGGGCTGTACGGTTTGGAATTCTTTAAAATTTGCCATGTGATGCTGTAATTTATATTATCTTTAAGTTTCCACAGATGTTTTAGTAGTTATAATTCAGTAATATCTTTCCTAAATAATTTGTTATGTTTTGTTGTATACTGTTGACGTCATGCCCGTCAACCGTTGTTACCATGGATCGTGTAATCAGACTTCATTTGTATTTTTCTTCTGATGAGTGTGGAGTACCACATGAAACTTTAAGTAAAGAACTTACAGATTTCATATTTTTAATTAATTATATTTGCTCTGGATATATTTATCCAGCACTCTGTGTTTAGCATATGCACACTATTTGGATTATAATATCAACTCAGACGACAATAACTAGGCCTATATGCAATGAAATTACTACAATTTTGCATTTAAAGCTGGCCAATATTTGTCAATAAAATATGCCTCTTTGGCTTCTAATAAATCATTATTATTGCTCCATAAAGGCTTAAAGTTCACCCCTACATCATGAAGTGACACATGTACTTTAAAGTCTGAGCTGTCAAACTTTTGTAGAAAATTAAGACTACAACATCATTTTCATAAAGACGACTCCAATTTAGATGAATCAAGACAATCAGAACCAGAATATTTAGTACGGAACAAATCTACCTTCACACCACGTGCTGGACAGGATGTTTTTCTTGATAAATTCATAACCACTATATCAACGCACCAAGTCCAAAATAAACCATTCAAATCAAACCTGAATAAGGATCACAAAGAAGCTTTGAATGCCTTGAACAATAGCTCTGATATAATCATAAAAAAGGCTGACAAGGGTGGTGCTATAGTGGCTATGGATACCTCATTTTATAAAGAGAGCATATCAAAAATGCTTTCCAACAAGGAATATTACGCGGAATCTTCACTAAAAGCTAACGATATGATTCTACGAAAAATTCAAAACTTTATTGGTGCACATACAAACATACTTCACAAACAAGAAGAAGATTACTTGTGTAATTTTCAACCTTCCGCTACCTATTTTTATGGATTGCCAAAGATCCATAAAAGCAAGACTATTCAAGAAGCTGTTAAAATTACAAAAACCGAAGTTGTTAACATTCGCAATCCGCGTGATTTAACCTTTAGGCCAATTGTAGGGGGGGCCAACTAGTTCATTGACATCATATTATAACCATTTTGCACCGAAGTCAAAAGCTTCCTTCACGACGACATAGATTTTTTTCATCATCTACCGGATGAGGTTGAACCAGGAAGTTGTCAACCTCTACAACAACATAGATAGAAATCTAGGATTGAAAGCGATTGGATATTGGATTGACACATATCCTGAGTTACTATCAAAACGCTTCACCAAATCATTTATCCTGGAAGCTTTGGACTTAGTTGTGTCTAACAACATTTTTTATTTCGACAATTATTATTATTCACAGATTAAAGGTGTGGCCATGGGTACTAAAGTTGGCCCCGCCTATGCAACTTTAACTTTAGGATATTTAGAAGAGATTTGGTATGAGAGGGTTGCTATTGAGTTTGATAGAGAATTCAGTGACATGATAAAACACTATGATTTCGCTTCCTGCATGACTGCGTTACAATACTTAAAGCAGATATGACAGTTATCTCCAAATTACATAAATTTTTGAATGAGTTAGCCCAAAATCGTTAAACTTTTTGGACGTAACCATTAATCTGTTACCAAAGGGGATGACTGAAACAGATCTTTATTACAAACAAACAGATACCCACCAATATCTAAACTTTCACTCTAGTCATCCTTCTCATACCAAACGGAACATTTAGCTAGAAGAGTATGTACCATTGTGTTATAAACTTACATTTCAAATTTCAACAAAATCGGATAAAAATTGTGACCTCCATAGGATCCACAACCTTGATATACCATATTTTTACACCATTTGAGAACGAAGGGCGGCCATTTTGTCTGTCAGTTTTGGTCCGTTTTTCACAAAATTCAAACTCAGCCGTCCTTAGGGTGTAACGGTGATATAATCATACGTTTTTTTAAATCGGATAAAAATTATGACCTCTATAGGGTCCACAAGCTAAAAACGCGATTTTTCGTACAATCAGGGGCCATAATTCAGGAAGTTACCGTCCGATTTGCGCGAATATCAAAAGGAACCAAGATCTTTGAGTTATAAACTTACATTTCAAGTTTCAACAAAATCAGATTTAAATTGTGACCTCCATAGGGTCCACAACCTTGATATACCATATTTTTACGCTATTTGAGAACGAAGGGCGGCCATTTGGTCTGTCAGTTTTGGGCTGATTTTCACTAAATTCGAACTCGGCCATCCTTAGTGCATAACGGTGATATAATCATACGCTTTTTTAAATCGGATAAAAATTATGACCTCTATAGGATACACAAGCTAAAAACGTGATTTTTCGTACAATCAGGGGCCATAATTCAGGAAGTTATGGACCGATGTGCGCGAATATTGAAAGGAACCGAGATCTTTGGGTTATAAACTTACATTTCAAGTTTCAACAAAATCCGATAAAAATTGTGACCTCTATAGGGTCCACAACCTTGATATACCATATTTTTACGCTACTAAACTGGGCTAATGAAGACGGGCATATGCCATACAGTGTGCTATGAGGGAAATTTTGCCCGGGCAGCGGCGCTACGGCCTACTCTTATATCGAATTCCAACTGCCAAGGGATCTTTTATGTGCACGCCAATATGTACACAGGACCTTGGTTTTTCGTCCCATCTGAACGACTAGACAGCTGTCCTTGTTAGGCCCTCCATCCTGCATCACTGACAAGGGGAAACCACGCCGGAAAATCTGGATGAACTTTCTCGGCCAATGCAGGGATCGAACACCTGACCTCCAGGCTAGCGAGCCAGAGTCTTACCCATTTAGCCAAAATAAGGAAACAATAAGAATCAGTAATATATTGTGTAATGAGTGAAATTAATGTTTTCATGGGCATTAACTACATTTTATACACAGTGTAATGAAAATTGAAGATTGTTAGGCAAAGCTGCATCATGACATGTACAGTAAATGACAACATGTAGTTTTCAATACGGTACTTTATTTTTTAAATTTTTTACTTTCAGGATCAGTCAGTCTGTGTTAGATAGCTGCTTCATCCAGTACAAAGAGAATGGGATATCACCTCGTCTAAAGAAACGTGGGGGCCGTAGAACTAAAAACCGTAATATTCTAAGCCATGATGACATACGTAGAGTTGTTTCTTTTATCTGCAACTATGCAGAAGAGCATGCCATTATTCTACCTGGTCGGCATCCTGGTCAGAAGAAACTAGATATCAAACTTCTACCTTCATATGTAACCAAATCATCAGTTCATGGTTTCTATAAAGAGGAAGTAACTAAACTTGGTACGATATTCTACATAATGTAAAAGTTCAGATTAATTTTCTTTTCAGCATTTTGTATTGGCTATCTTCCTTTAAAAGGTTCTAAATTTTATGGGAACTACATGTATGTTTCTTTGCCTTATTTGATTTAGCCTACCTGTAAAATAGAAAAGTAATTGACATTGTAAACATAAACCATAGTTTAATAATAATAACATAAAATAAATCCAAGTTCGAACGATCAAAATCATGGACATAAATCGCTATTGCTTTATTTATTTGTCTTGTCTCTAAATTTATTTTGTTTTATACTTCAGGCCATCGGGCTGCGAAGATTAGCAGTTTCCGCAGCCTTTGGAAGTCGCTAACCCCCCACATCACTCGTACAAAACCAATGTCTGATCTGTGTTGGCAGTGCTGTTTATAGAAGCTCAAATTTACCAGAAATAGTCAAGTCAGCAAAATTAAAAAAACAAGAGGAACACTTACTGGTGGTTACCAAAGAGAGGTCCTATCTGAATGAAATGGTTGCCCGTTCCAGAGAGGCCTGTGAAGTACTTAATCTGACTAAACTTCAGCCAACATTACCAATGTCAAGGCCAATTAACATGCACTACAGCTTTGATTTTGCTCAACAGGTAAGTTAAATTAGTTAGAACCCATCCCCCACACCTTCATAATGAAAGTTGCTTTGAGTTCAACTGTGCAATTATGCATTGGCCAAGCTTAGAATTAAGTTATAACATTAATCTGAGTCTGTTATCGGCAGATATAGCGTATAATATTGGCACCTTCTTCTTTCACTACTTTCAGGCCAGTCCATAAATCAGTTTCTCATAGTTGCAGGTTTTCTTTCAGGCCAATCATCATGTGATCAATGAGGTAATGAAGTTATTCTTAAAATTGTATCCCTTTTTTCAGGTCCACTTTCCCGCCGACCCACTAAAGCCAGGACCAATTTACTTCCTGACCCCATGGAAGTGTGGATTATTTGGCATGTGCTGTGAAGGAATACCACAACAGGTTAACTACCTCATTGATGAGGGGATGAATGTGTCGAAGGGTTCAGTTTCTGTAATAAATTATCTAGATCATTTTC